GCCAATTGCTGTAGCTGGTGTCGCTACTGCTGCTGCCGCTGCTGCTGCTGCTGCTGACTTCCTGCTCCAGTGTAGACGGAAAGCAGCACTGGTAGTAGCTTGCAAAAAGAGGCAGCTGCAGCAGCCGGGCCAATGTGTGGAGCAGCAGCACGAGCTTCTGCACCTCCAGGTGTACAGACACCTGCCGCAGCAGCAAATCCTCCAGCAGCAAATGCAGCACGAGAAAGATGCAGGGTAGCTGCTGCTTCAGCCCCAGCTGCGGCAGCTCGCCATCACTGCAGCTGCAGCTGCCGTCAGCAGCAGAAGCAGCAGCAGCAGCTGCTGCTGCTGGCAACGGCGCAGCACAAGGCGGCACCCCTGAAGCACCACAGTCGTCCACGCATGCTCCCAGCTGCTGCTGCTGCTGCTCAAGTACTTCTTGTGCGCTGCAAATAATTGCAGCAAGAGGGCCCAGGCCCTCAGCTTCGAGGGAGCTAAGTGCTGCAGCAGTTGCTGCTGCTGCTGCTGAGCTGCCGCTGCTGCACCTGCTTGAGCCTTCTCTGCTGCAGCGCCTGTCGCCTTGCTGCTGCAGCGGCCCGCGGCGCCGCTTCAGTCGAGAAGCAGCAGCAGCAACAGCTGCTGCTGCTGCTGCTCGGCTTGGTGTTGCTGCAGCACACTGCTGCTGCTTTTCCGGAGGCAAGTTTTCTCCCTGCGGAGGAATTGCCGCCTGCAGCTGCAGCAGGCGAGCGCCTGCTGCTGCAATGGCATAGTGCTCACTGCTGCTGCTGCTGTTGCTGCTGCTGCTGCTGCTGCTGCCCCTGCAGACGGAAAAGACCTCACAACACAAAAGCTGGCAAAAAGCACTCCACTCAAGAGCGGCGACGCTGGGGAACTCTCCTGTGTCCGCTGGAGCAAAGGTTTCTTGCTGCTGCTGCTGCTGCAGCGACAGGGAGGCCGGCGACTGACAACAGCGGAAGACTGCAGGCAGCAAAACTCTCGCTGCTGCTGGCTGCAGCAGCGCCGCGAGCGCGCGGACGCAGGCCCGCAGCAGCCAGCTGCTCTGCAGCAGCCTGACGCTGCAGCGGAAGCTCTTGAGACGGCTCAGCTGCTGCTGTTCCTGCTGCTGCTGCTGCTGCTGCAGTTGCTGCTGCTGCTGCTGCTGCTGCTGCTGGTGCTTGAGCAGCAAGGTGACTTGAAAAGTATTCGCCGACAGAGCTGAGACTGCTACGGGAGCAGCAGCCTGCATCAAAGCTGCCTCGGGGTGCAGCAGCAGCAGCTGCTGCAGCAGCAGGTCCCCACAGTACAACCGCACGGCCCCGTCTAAGTGAAGGGCCACCCAGTGCTGCGGCAGGGCGTGGTGCCGGC